AATTTAAAATGAACTTTTTACCTATTGATTTCGAAGATAAACTCTTCTTTACATCATCACTACCTCTCAACAAAAACCCTCCTCTCAGCAAGAGAATTCTTCACAGCAAGAACCTCCTTTTCAGGAGGAGGGTGTAGAACAATAGATTCTGAACCCTGCTATAATAAGTTTTTACTTTATTATAAGTTTCTACTAGTATTGAGTCCACAAACTTTAGGATCTTTCTTACAACTACTCCAACAACTACAGTTTAAAGATAATATAACTATCTCAGTTAACTATACTAATTTAAAAACACACATATATCTTCTACACAACAACAACCTCTTACCCAATCACAAAATAATTAAACAATTCAATTATAGCAAATATCGAAAATTATCTCTTAGATCATCATTATTCTTTGATAATGATATTAAAAACTATTTAATGACTTAAAATTCCTTTTTAACTCCTTTACATACACCAGAGCCTTCAACTCTAAGCAACCAAACTAATAAAACTGATCCTGGTATTCAAACTCTACATATACTTTCTAATACATTGGAATCTAAAGAACCTCCTGAAGATAACCAACCTACCAAACCCCAAGTTCCAAGTTTGAACTTATCAATTTGCACCCATAATGTAAAAGGATATAATGAAGACCTTAAAAGACAAGTCTGAGAAGACTTTTGTCTTTCTAATAACCTTAGTATTATTGGCATTACAAAAACTAAGATCTCTAAAGAAAAGGCAAACAACCAGTTTCAAAAATCTAGATTCTTTACCTACTTTTGGTCCTGTACAGACAGTGCTAAAGCAGGAGTTGTTATTATAGTCCAAAACCAACAATATATCCACAATATTCTCACTAAGTCTGGATATACTATTCCCATCGACCTATTTTTAAAACAAAATTTCAAATTTAGAATCATCAACATTTACCTGTCTTGTAATAGTCCTCAATTCTATTTATAAGCTCAAAACACTGTTATTCAATAGATTCAGCAAGCTACTTCTTTAAATATTCAACCTATAATAATGGAAGACTTTAATGCCTCTAGCAACAATATACAATCCTTATCAATTAAATACAAACTCCTCCACTTTCTTCAATACAACAACATATATGACCTGGCAGCTTATATACAATCTATAAATACTATATGGCATAACATTAGAAATAATAGTAGCCGTATTGATTATATATGGGCTAACTATCCTATTCTTCACTATTGAATATATTTTACCTTGAGGATACCAAAACTAGCACTAATAGTGACCATAAGATCTTGATATCTTCCTGGTCTTTTCCTCATGCAATCACAGAATAATATCATCATTCAACCAAAACTAAGAAAAAAGTTTTCTTTACAAAAGTATGAATTAGAAACAATGGTCAAACTATACTGAACAAATATCATCTAATCTTAAATCTAACAATACACCAGATACAACTAATACTACAGAATCTATAGAATATATATAGCACAAAATTTAAACTAGCATTATCAATGCAGAAACACAACATATCCCTAACAAAAAATTTACTGTTTGTAATTTTTAACATATTTTCTCATCCAAAGCATCTCAGCTCTATTACAATTTTAAAAAGCTTGGTAATATTATTAAACAAGTTAAACACTCTTTAAACAACTCAACTCCTATACCTACTCATCACAACCAAACACTTACCCACCTTAATTCAATACACCATCTTCAATTAGTCAAAATACTATCTGATCATACAGCACTACCAGATTGAATAACTCTGTCAAACAATAAGTGGAAAGCTCTTTATCACGTATGTAATATCAAAAACATCAAAGAAATAAGATAACAAATTGATGATAATATTGCTAAATGATGCAACAGACTTTAGTCTAATCCTACCTTAATAATTAATAGCATACTTAATCGACATAAAGATCTTGTTAGATTTGACAATATTAAATCTAATAATGATACTATTATAGAACCTAATAAAATTAAATCTCATATACAAGAACACTTTGATCAATGGATAGCACTTTGTCATATTGATGAACATATATATAACAGTATAGTTAACACCCTATAAGTGCACTACCTCTAAGTGCAACTTTTCTCTAAATGCAATAAAATAGCTTTGTCTCATGATGGGACTTATGATATAAATGCACATTCTATTTTCTATAAATGCAAGACATTTTACGATCCAAACATATATAATTTCTCTTCTTATATGCAAGTTACCTGACTATAACCAATCAAATGTTGCATTACGCATACTGAAGATGCACAAAAATATTGTTTATGAACTTGTGCGATTTGCATGATACTATGCTTTGTATGAGATAAAATATTTGATTAAACAATCTTTGCTATATTTTAAAAGTGATTTATACCAAATGATACAAACATAAGTAATCATTAATAAAAAAATATTGTTAAAACAGTTTTTGGGAATTTAATTTTATTTAGTTCCTGAATTTAGCCAGTATATCATCGTAAAATTTCAAATTTCACTAATTCGCCAAAGTACTTGAACTACATATATGAAACTTATACATATTGGTGGCTATAATTTTAGTAACTACAGCCAATATATTATATTATCACTGCAAAATCTTTGATCAAATTTTGCAGATCGTAATTTACATGTACAATTGATTGTTGTTTGATTTTAACCAAAATTTGATAAATTTATAATCTATGACTTTCTATATTTATATCCTTAAAATATTCTTAAAGTAACTTTACACAATCGCACAATTGAATGATTGTACATGTAAGCTGAATCTTCAAATTTGATCAAAGATACATCATTTTCAAATTGCAATCAACTTGTAATTATGTTATTGAATTTGTACTTAAAAATTTAGTTAAATACAATGATGTTAATAGAGATCTTATGAATCCTCAATGTTAATTATTAGAAATATTTTGACATTGATCTTGATTTTAAATTGTCAAAAAATTTTATCTATCTCAATATTGAAGTACTGTAGCTCTGCCTTGCCAAAATAGATTCTACTTCGTAATACTGTAATAACATAATAAAATGATTATAAAATCATACAAATTTTACAGATTGGTCTGTTAAACTAGCTATACTTAAAATTTAGTTCTTTAATTAAACCATATTTGATTAGTTAAGATTATCTAAAAACCTGTCATATATCAAAGCTTAGAGGCTTAGATGCAGTAAAATTATTGTAATTATCTATGTAAAATTAAAACTTTTTTTAGCGTTATATAATTACAGTATTAAATTTGACTAAACGTGATTATACTAACCTAAAAAGTTAAGTAATTAAATGTTTATAGCCATAAGTAAAATATGGTACAATAAATCTAAAATAAGAAAATTCAAGAATAGGCTTAAGTTGTGCATCTAAAATTATGAAGTGAATTCAGAAGCAGCTTTGAATTCACAAGAATTAAATAGTGTGAAAATTAAAAATAAAGAAAATCAGATATTTTTAAAGAATAAAGAAACTAGGATAGGAATAAACTCATAGTATAGCCGCAAAGCCTCAAAAAAAAAGCATATATTCAAAATGATTAGATAAGATGAAAATAAAATTTTTATAAATACTGTATACAGTATATATAAACCTAAAAAAAAACATCTCGTTCAATGTTAGTTTGATCAAGAGTTTTCAAATAACTTTTTATAAGCTTACCGTTACTATAAAGTATTTATAAAATTAATTATATTTTTTGTAATCTTGCTCCCATCATAATTTATTATTTAATATTATATCTTAATATCATAATTACTTAAATGTCTTCTAAAATCAAAAAAACCATGTTGACAAATAAGCAGAGATTAGAGGTCTTAAAACATAAAGAAAAAAACCTAGGTTGATATTATCAAATGGGTTAAAGAAACATTTAGTTTAAATATCTATCAATCAACAGTTGGACGTATATTAAAACAGAATGACAATAATTTTGAAGAAATGCTTACTATGAAAAGATCAAGGGCTGTTATGTTTCCTGAGCTTGATGATGCATTACATGAATGGGTTTTACGAAATTAAGCCCATATAATATTAAGTGATGCCATATTAACAGAAAAGGCCAAAACATTTGCAAAGTTACTTAATATATCAGAAGACCAGCTTAAATTTTCAATAGGAAGGCTTGCAAGATTTAAAAAACAGTGTGGAATCACAAAAGTGAAGTTGTATAGGGAGGATGCTTTTGTGGATCATGATGCTGCAACTGAGGCTATTCCAAAATTAAACAAGTTGTTATTACAATATCATCTACAAAATATATATAATATGGATAAGACCGCATTATTTTATCAGTATGATATAATTTTTTTTTGTTTTTAATGCATAATGGTAATACTTATTATATACAGACTCAAACCGGATACAACATTGGCAACAACACGTCTAAGTGGAAGAAAAAAATAAGGAAATATTAACTATTGCACTATGTGCAAATGCTAGTAGATCAGACAAACTTAGACCATTAGTAACAGAAAAATATAAAAATCCTTGACGTTTTAAAAAAGTAGTCTTGGTATAACATATAAAGCCAATCTTAAAGCATGGATAACTGGGTGCATATTTCAACGGTGGTTAAGAGCATTTGATCATAGAATGGATAGACGCAAGATTATTCTTTTACTAAATAGTGCAACTAACCATAGCACCAGTGGCATTACTCTCAAAAATACAGTTGTGTATTTCTTGTCCCTGCATACTACTTCAAGAATCTAGCCAATGGACGCTGTGATTATCATGTCATTTAAACGCCATTATCATTCTTTGTTTGTTAAATGGCTTTTGAATCAATATGAATCTGGAAATAGTGAAAACAACTTAAATGTACTTTTTGCTATACAATTTATTGTAAGTGCTTGAAATGATGTAACAGCAACAACAATTTTTAATTGTTTTTGTCATACAAAGATCCTTCCTGTAGTGATAGAAAACAATGACGATATTGATAATGCAGATGATGAATTAATTTATGAACTATATTTGGATATCAGAGCCCTTCGCTTTCGAGATGAAATGGATGTTGAAAGTTACATTAACTATCCTGAAGAAAATATAACAGATAAATCAATTGATGATGAGAAGATAGTAAATCTTACAAGGCATTCAGATAATCTCACCATTGTTGAAGAACCAGATGATAGTGTTGAAATACATCAATATACACATTAAGAAGCATTAGATGCATTAGATATAGTTAATCAATATCTTCTAAAATAAAATAATGATGTGGCTGAATATATTAGTGCATTTTCAAAGTCATTAAAAAAGTGAGAAGTCTTCGAACTGCTTCACTACGACAAACTAACCTTGAGTTATTTTTTGCTCAAGATCCTGCTAAAAATAATACTGTCGAGATTGAATATGATTATCTAACTGATATTGCCATGTTTGAAGCTGACGAAGATACTGAAATGGAAGATCTTGAATCAGATACAGCTAAAAATAATGAAGTATAAAAATTCTTTTTAGTATTATTATAAAAAGTTAAAAAAAAAATTAAAAAACCAAAAAACCAAAAAAATTAAAAATAAAAAATAAAAAAAATATAGGCCAGGCTGTACAAACTTAATAAATCGGTTCTCATAACTCTGCTGGGTCAAATTTTACAAGTATATTTACTATCCGATAAGTTTTTCTAAAAATTTATAAAAAATTTTATATGTTTTTTTATATATAAAATTTTTTGAAAATAAAATTAAAAGCGGTTTGCTAGGTTATTTTCAAAAATTTATGTTATAAGAACTGATTTATTAGGTTTGTATAGCCTTAGGTTAGTATTTTTGTTAGAAAAAAATCTATTATACATATATTTTATATAAGAAATATTATATATGTAGCTAAAAAAAGCTAACATGATCGAAATAATCTATATAGAATAAAATTATTGGTGCTTTTGCTTTAAATAAAAAATTTTTGTTCGAAGAGTTTAAATAAAAAAATGTTTGTTCAAAAAGTTTATATAAAAATGCTTGTTCGAAGAGAAAGAACAGAAGAACAATGTTGTTCAATTATACTGTATAAGTTGAAACTAACTAAACTATACATAATCAATATCGTGTTACCATATACATAATATGCAAATCATATAATTGTATAATATCGGTATTAACCAATCATAATCATAAAGTTATATCATGTGATGTATCAGTCGATTTAAAGGGGTTTCTTTAAATACAATATCTCTCTATATATAAGACAACCTATTGGTCCCAATGGGTTGTAATTAGAGAGAGTCGACTGTATCTGGCTTACAGAATACAACTCTAAACCTAATATTGACATCATATGGTATCAATCCACACTTCAAGAATTTACTACAGAAGAGGTTTTCCAAACACTCTCTCAATTACTTAATAACAAAGCATGTAGCTCCTCTGGAATTAGCTATGAGATGTTTAAACAGGCTGGACCAACCTTCATTTAAGCAATTACAGCTCTTTTCAATCAATGCTTAACAACTAACCAAATACCTAAACAATGAAAAAAAGGAAGAATCTTTTCAATATCCAAAAAATCTATCTTTAACAGAAATCTAACTAACACCAGATCTATAAGCCTTCTTGAACATATTAAAAAACTATATACCAAACTCTTGACCAATCACCTAAATAGTATCTTTATCCAATATTATATTCTTTCATCATTCAACTATATTGCTTTACCTGGAAATAGCACTACTATTCCTATCCACATTCTTAACAATATTATTGAAGAACCCTCATGTAACTTGAGACAACTCTGGCTCATATCCCAAGATATGAGTAAAGTATACGATTCAGTTAATTTGAAGCTTTTCCAAAGACCCCTTACATAAATTAACATGCCTTTCAAACTTATATGTATCCTCACTAACCTACTATCTGATTGTTATAATAGAGTTATTACAAATTTCAGTTTTACAAACTCTTACTCTGTTAAAAATGAAATAGATCAAGGGGAAACAATAACATCTCTCTTCTGGAGGATTTATTATGACCCTCTTATCACTAAAATTGCTACCCACTTCAAAGGCTACATACTATCATCTTCATGAAAAACTCGTCTACATCCACTATGATATCAAGAAATGCAAATATCTGTCTCTGTGCTTGCTTATATGGATGATATACTTTGGATTGCAAAGTCAAAGAAAAATTTCAACTGATAACTCAAACTGCAATGTCATTTTATCAAATAGCTAATATACAAATCAATCCTACCAAATCTATACTTATTAGCAACCAGCCCATAGACTCAATTACATTTGCAATTTTTAACAACATTTAATACCCCATAATCAGCCCTTCAAATTCTTAGGCTGTTGATATACACTTGATAACAAACAGATTCAACAAACTAAACTGATAAAAGAAGAAGCATTTCAACTAATCAATATCACTAGCACCAAAAAGATTACAAATAAGCAGATTACTTACATTATTAATACTATTATCATTCCTATTATAGATTATATATTACACAATATTATTCTTCTCTAGTCTACTTGCAATCAAATTCTATCCAAATATCTAACAGTAGCTAAACACAAATCTCACCTAGCCCAATCTATTCCTAATAGTACTATACTCAACCCTTATTTATATAATATCAGAAATATTTGGAATATCCAACTTCAACTTCATATTACCAACTTTTTGTAATGTATGAACAACCCATATTTGCTAGGCATCTTTACACACATCTGCATCCAACAATTACAAAATAATTTATAGTCAACTATTAGTATACTTCAATATCTACAACCTATTATAGATGGGCCAAACAAATATACACTTAACTTTCATATTATCAAACTCCTTAATCACCTAGATATTACTATTATGGCAAATATTAACTTCTTATGGCCTTACACTATTCAACACAACTTACAACCTTTGGAGTTAATTCTTCAACAACATCCCAAGTATTTATTTATCAAAAAACAGCTTAAACGACTTAATTTACTTTATATTGAGCAACTCTGCTTAGCTGACAATACTACTCTCTTAGAATAGAAACATCTCTTACCAAGATTACTCCATTTGCCCAAAGGCAAACAACCAGACTGGTTTATATACCTAGAGGATAAAGTAATATCTCATAGCTACTATCGCACTCTGGCACCCCAATATCAACAACTAGGAGTTAACCCTTTTGTACACAATATACATATATCTAAAAAATCTAACTCTTGGTTACTTAGCTATAACAACAATGATATTATTATTGGCAAAATTTGTAAATATTTACCAAACAACTTGATTTCCATCACACACTAGAAAACTAATATTAATTCTATATATAACCAACTCTATCTACTCCAACCTATCCAATGTTATTCTTGCTCTGGATATCATCCCAACTCTAACAAAATTAGTAGTTGCTGTACAATTAATATTTTAGCTATTATCTCTATCCAGTTCTTTGGAAGAATTTCTTCTAAGAATCTTATTCTTTATGCTAATTACATTAATTTTATTCGCTTCACAGCAATTAAACATCCTATTCAAGTCCCTACCTTACTTCAAATTTCTATTAACCATTCTACCCATCTCAAATTTTTGAGCCCAGAGAGGCTACTTCTAAGCTTGAACAATTTTCTTATATAAATTCTATGCTTTCCAAATTTAACTTCTATATAAATAGATCAGTAATTGATATTGGAATACAAAACTGCACAATGGGTATAAGATGGGTCCAGTTGGATACCAATAATCACATCATACATAAATTCTCAGCAAAAATACACCTTTGGCCATCTTCATACAAAGCTGAGCTTTTTTCAATCCTATCTGCAATTTCTACTACTCCATGCAATTCAGCTATCAATATTTTTACTGATTCACAATCTATCATCTTTAAATACTTCAAACTTATTAATTTAAACAACCTTAACAAACTTTTCAAATTCAGTTTATGGCCTTTATAGCATATATTACTTAATATATCCAAATCACATAATTTACAAATTACTTTTCATAAAGTTCAAGCTTACACTGATAACTACTACAATAACTTAGCTGATTCTCTTGCTAAACAACATATACTATCACCCTCATTATACTTCATATATACTAATATCCATAACTCCTTTTACATAATTCAATAGGAACAATATCCTGTCAAATCTTCTACTAGACACCTCATTAAAAGTATTTGCAAATCCCAGATTTTAGCAATGTAGTCATTATAAAACTGTAATACTGAATGGTCATTCTTTATACAACAGATAAACTGGAACACTACTTGGTTATTCTTTAACTACAATCAAAAACCTATCTACAACTTTACTAACTTTAAACTAAATCAACTTAAATCATTTAAAATCAAAACTTTACTTAATGAATTGCCTATCTACTTCTTCTATTATACTAGATATTCCACTACCTTTAACAATTATACTTGTTTTTCTTGCAATAGCTTAGACTCTGTTTCACCTGGAGAGTTTGTTCTAACTTTACTACTTTTATCAATATTATTTCTAATTCCATCTTTGTAATTCTTCGCAACTTAGCATTAGACTTATTTAGTAACCAAACCAATGAACTTATATACACAATTCAAAACTATGCAGCTTTCAGAAATATAGTAGTAGGATCAAATAATCTCCTTTTAGATATCATATTTAAAGGCTTTATTCCTATATTTCTAGTTCAAACTATTCAAAAGTTTAATATTCCCTACAAATTTGCATTGCAAATTATTGTTAAAACCCTATTTCAAATTAATAAACTTATCTATAAACAGATATGAAAACCATATTATATTAACTTCTCAAATTAGAAAAAGCAAAACAAGATTACATTACTCTATAACCAACCTCAAGATCAACAGTCTACCAAAAGAACTCTAAACGTACCTGCAAATCATATACCTACTCTTGCCAATGTGGCCTATCTGACCAGCTACACTTAAATAACTCCTGTCTATCACTTAGACAGACCATTAGCAAAATTAATATCTTTAATATATTATAGATTAAATACAATATATCTTCTAATTACATCCTCTCTATCACAATCTAGGTGAGTCTTTGACCACTCTAGTAGGTTTAGATCGCAGATAAAGTAGTCTGAGCTTTTATTCTTGCATATAGATTTTACTTTTTATATTCTATGTATTTAAAGGTTAATAACTCTTTGCAGTTATTATATTAAAAACTATTAATAAAGATATGAGCAAGGCCTTATCTTAATACTAAAAAAAAAAAATTATTTTATCACTAACACAAATAAGTGAAGTTATTTAATTTTTGATTTTAAAATGGTTTTTCTAATAGAATTCTAGTTTCTTGGTTAGTTAAAATAGATTTTTGATTATTGTTGACTGCTGCTATACTTTTAAATTATTATATGTAGTTTATCTGAGGAATTCTAGATGATGTACTTATTATCAACTACTATATTTGACTCAAATTTCCTAAAACATTAAAATACTAAAACACTAAAACACTAAAATGCTAAAATACTAAAACACT